CCATGGGTTGTTATAGTGCTCCCATATGGTGCTTCAATCTACATTTGACACATTAAAACATGGTTTATATGATATTATATATTTATTACAGACAGCAGATCAAATCAAATTACTTCAAAGTGCATGGTGCCAAGCTTTTATCACTACCTTAGCCTACTTGTCTATCCCACACAACGACCATATAATGTTTATCACCGGCAAACTAGTGGACAAAGACGAGGCCAATCGGTATCATGTCTTGGAAGTGTTCCAACGATTATTGGATTTCACACAACATCTCAAGCGACTGGAAATCGACAAGTACGAAATAGAAGCATTTAAGCTGATGTTACTGCTCCGATCAGGTGTGTAAAATCATTTACTATCAGAGACTGAGAATGCCTTAAAATAATCCATTGAGCGCCACTGTCTTCTTTTTCCGCCAAAGGTACATTACTTGGGGTTTGCAACGCGCATAGTTCTGTATGGTGACATCATGCCAAAATCCCATTCAAGTCTCATCTCGTAGTTAGCGAGACTGATGCTACGACCTTCTGACATGACATAGGCGGTTTGTAATAAAACAATAAAACATCTATTACCACATTCATAGTGAAAAAATGTAATACATCGAAAATGCACAGAAAATATAGTTATCGTAATCCGTCATATCGTGAGCATGTTTTGATCCACTTGGACATCCCAGTATCCTAATTACCTCGGGCATGCACATTCGCATTTTTCTGAGTTGGAACACTTATGCGAGAGCGAGATTGAAATGGGATCTTGGTATCATGTCACCATAGTTGCAAACCCCAAGTAATGTACCTCTGTTTTGCCTATCACAAAATATTTTTTCCACATTTTGTCACAAATTTTTATCAAGACCAATGAAAAAATGAATCCATTTCGATTAACAAAGTACATAAAAATGAGTAAAATTTAATAATAAAATAAAATATACTTTTTCTAGCTGTATAACAATATATGTATGAGGTTATTATGACATATTACAAAGTAAATGTGAGGTAGTATGATGGTCATACCATTTGGTGTGCTCCCGTGCTGACTGAGTGCATACTTTTGCGGAATTCTCGTGATAACTGTATTATCATCTTCCTCTGCTTCGTACTCCAAATTTAGTGAGTTATACATTGAGCAAAAAGAGATTGATGCATGCATGATAATTTTACTTCAGTGATGTAATTCTATTTCCATCTAGGTTTATTTATAATAATATTCGTTATTATTAAAAAATTACTGTCACTATTTGTTCATTAATAGCTAGCTATGTGTGTAAATGAGTTTGATGTGTCCATGTGTCTGTCTGTTTGTGCAAGCAACATAGGTACTGTATCTTTGAGTAACACGCAGACATGATTAGTTTTGGGGCCATGTCTGTGCATATTAAGTAGCTAATTTGCATATTATCTTATTCAGCCTGTTTAAGCAAAATCTCAAAAACTTCTGAACATGTTTTTATCAAATTTAGTACATAGGTACAGTATCTTTGGGTAACACGCATACACGAGTAGTTTTGAGACCATGCCTGTGCATATTAAGTAGCTAATTTGCATATTACTGTGGTTTAACAAATTTTTATCAAATTTGCTATATATTGGTGCTGGACATCTGCTGGCTGATGATCCTAACCTCTAATAACATTACTCTTTCACTGATTGTTGGAAATTTTTCTTTCCTAGATATGTTTCCCTAAAATACAAAAATGAACGCTTATTCCTTATTTGCACGAAAGCTTTGCAGAGTTTAACGTTTCAATCGTCAATTTGTTTTTACGCAGACTGTCAAAATTTATCACGACCAGATCAAGTGACAGAATTACAGGAGAAGGTGGAAGATGAACTATTAACATACATTACAGAGCAGTATCCAGAGAGACCTAATAAGTTTGCTGAGCTCATTGTGAGGATATCGGAGATTGAACGCATTTGTTACATCGTCAAGGAACTTGTGATGTTCAAACAGCTGTCTAGCGGTGTTTCAGACGACTCTCTTTTAAATGAACTTATGGAAGAGTCATCTAAAATTGATCGTGTTGTCCCAAAAACGATTTCATTGCCGTTGCCATAGCACTATTTCTATAGTCTGTAACCTGCTGGGTACATATCTATTTGCCGGATACACAAAGTCGAAGATATTATTGTTTATTAGAGCTGCTCTTCATTGCAGAACAACGTGGTTGCTGTTGTATCTTTTTAGCACAAAATTTTTTTACAAAAATCCATCATTAGTATTACTTTTTGGCTAAAAACTATTATAGAATATTTTAGCCAGAATGTGTTTCTCTTTCTTCCGCTAGAGGGCAGTATAACATGAAAATTGTGTGTTTTAGCACCTCTAGAGGGCGATATAACATGAAACATCTTTTCAGAATCATGGAAAATCATAGAAATGAAATGTCATTGGTGTTCTTTGGACATGAAGTGAGTAGTTTGTTATCTAATTTATGTTCTGCAAACTTTATCAAATATATTACATTGATAAGTGGTAAAAAAGTAAACACAGCCCGTTTTTTATAACTGTTTGAGAAATATTTTTGTTCACGGAAATGATCTTTTACTATTTCAGTAAATATTTGGTATACATCAATAATTGTTACAGAAACAGTGAGAATGGAATTTTTTTTACCAAAGTACAGACTATAAATAGGACTGTTTTGTGATGAAAAGAGGGAACTGGTGGTGAAAAGGTTAAACTGTCTTCGTGACATGTTCTGTCTAATATGGGTTCCACATTGTACAACCACCGTCTTTTAATATGCAGTTTTACAGCATATATACAAGGCAGAATCTGATACGCTGAAAATACCTGTCAGTAAACAAGCTGCTCTCTGATTGGTCCAACTGTTAGGTGTAAAGGTTGGGTACCCAATCAGGCACAATCTTGTAATTAGCTCCTGTTTTATGTCAACATTTTTCTACACCAGCTTCAGTTTTTTTGATTTCGAATCATAGACATCTGGATTCTTTTTGAAAGTTTACAAAATATTGATGAAACATATTTCTTTTCATGCAACTGGCGTTGCAAGACACAATAGGTCTTGGTTTCCATATATGGTATACCATAAAATCCTTTATTTTACCTGGAATTAATTTTCGCTAAAAAGACTTTTTGGGTGTTTATTTATTTATTTTCACCGATTTTTGACGAGTTGAATGTAAAATATACAGTAAAAATAAAAGGTAAATTCCTTGGATATTATTTTCACTGAATTGTCCCTTTACGAAAAATAAAGTATTTAGCAGTATATGTTTTTGCAGATATTGCTGACAATGCTCTTATCTGCTATTTGAAAAATGTTACCTTATTCTTTCCAGATATTTGTTCAGTTTAATCACATCTTGCAACTTATTGAACTATCAGATCATTTCACTTTTTGTTTACGGTAATTGTGGCTTCAGGAAGAGTAAACCATATTAGGGACAGGGGTGTCAGGTATACAGATATTAGAGACTGAGCATTTTTAAGATTCTAGAATTTTATTGTATAGCATTTACAATAAAAATACAATTGTCTATATTTTGAAATATAAATTATTAATTAAAAAAAGCAATGCTTTTTATTGGGTCTTGTGTATCGCATAATGTGATTGGATCACATGTATCGCATACTATGATTGGGTCATATGCATCACATACTATGATTGGGTCATATGCGTCGCATACTGTGATTGGGTCATATGTATCACATACTATGATTGTGTCATATGTATCGCATACTGTGATTGGGTCATATGTATCACATACTATGGGTCATATGTATCACATACTATGATTGTGTCATATGTATCGCATACTGTGATTGGGTCATATGCATCACATACTATGGGTCATATGTATCACATACTATGATTGGGTCATATGTATCACATACTATGATTGGGTCATATGTATCACATACTATGATTGTGTCATATGTATCGCATACTGTGATTGGGTCATATGCATCACATACTATGGGTCATATGTATCACATACTATGATTGTGTCATATGCATCGCATACCGCGATTGGGTCATATGTATCACATACTATGATTGGGTCATATGTATCGCATACTGTGATTGGGTCATATGCATCACATACTATGGGTCATATGTATCACATACTATGATTGGGTCATATGTATCACATACTATGATTGGGTCATATGCATTGCATACTGTGATTGGGTCATATGTATCGCATACTATGATTAGGTCATATGTATCGCATACTGTGATTGGGTCATATGTATCGCATACTGTGATTGCGTCATATGCATTGCATACTGTGATTGGGTCATATGTATCGCATACTGTGATTGGGTCATATGTATCGCATACTGTGATTGGATCATATGCATCGCATACTGTGATTGGGTCATATCCATCGCATACTGTGATTGGGTCATATGTATCGCATACTGTGATTGCGTCATATGCATTGCATACTGTGATTGGGTCATATGTATCGCATACTGTGATTGGATCATATGTATCGCATACTGTGATTGGATCATATGCATCGCATACTGTGATTGGGTCATATCCATCACATACTGTGATTGGGTCATATCCATCGCATACTGTGATTGGATCATATGTATCGCATACTGTGATTGGATCATATGTATCACATACTGTGATTGGATCATATGCATTGCATACTACGATTGGATCATATGCATCGCATACTAAGATTAAGTTATATGTATGTGTATCACATACAACACTAATTGGTTCATTGACCTCATAATGCATATAACATACATTGTATATGTTAATTTGTTTTGGTGAACTTTCAAAAGAAATGAAATATTGTATAATTTACTTGTATTTGGAAATGAGTTTTTCCAAGGAATTTATAGTAAAATCATGCCAAAAAAAATGTTATGCTGGATATCAAGTCATATTTCACAGTATTAAGTAAACCATAATTACAGGACATGGTATCCTAGCAATGCTGTGTTTGTTCATTTATTTAAAGTAGATTTTGAAGATTTGTGTGTAGGGCATCAGTTTGCACTTTTGTAAAAAAAAATGCATGATGGACGACAGCACAGGCACAAATAAATAAAATAAAATAGAGAAATACTGTAAACGTAATTATTATTTGGTGGGTTTAAATTTCACTGTTATGGGAAATTAAAATTACAATAGAACCTATTGTTTTATATTAATGGCAAAACTGTGTTTTTTAACCCAGGGAATATGCTCAAAATATTGAATCACCAAAATATAATGCTCTTACAGTAGAACAAAAGTTAACATGATTCTGAGTAGTAGTAGTAGTGGTTTATTCTGTGAAAGGTCAGAAAAGTTTAATGCTGTTCAAAGGCTTAGGGAGCTTGCTCAGGAAGTGATGTCATATTATTCCTTTTGTATTTCAATACAGGAAGTCGTGGTGCACCATGGGAGTGGAGTTAGGAAGCTCTGTCATTAATCTTTTGTATTTCAATACAGGAAGTCGTGGTGCACCATGGGAGTGGAGTTAGGAAGCTCTGGAAGTGATATCGTTATTAATCTTTTGTATTTCAATACAGGAAATTATGGTCCACCCTAATGCAAGTGCATTAAGTATTCACTGAATTTTAATTTGCGATTTTTTGTGCAATCTGCTAAATTGAATCCACATGAACATGAAAATTTATCACAAACCTAGTTAATGTAATTTACAAGATTTAATTTTAAAACAGGTACTTGCACAGACCAGAAATGTATCATTTTTTTTCTGGTCCACGATAATTACATCATTTCATTTTTTTTACATTAACAATGAAGTTATTTATTATATTTTCTTCCGAAATTGGTTTTCAATGTAGTATTACCTATGTCTTTACAGTATTTTATTTGCATCAAGTGATTTGATATGTTAAGGGAGTGTTTGTGAACACAATTTTATGAAACTCACTATGACTCTTGAAGAACCCAGTGAAATGTTCACTGTGACTCCTTTAAGAACTCAGTGAAATGTTCACTGTAATTCCCTAAGAACCCAGTGAAATGTTCACTGTGACTCCCTAAGAACCCAGTGAAATGTTCACTGTGACTCCCTAAAAACTCAGTTAAATGTTCACTGTGACTCCCTAAGAACCCAGTGAAATTTACACTGTGACTCCCTAAAAACCTTGTGAAATGTTCATTGTGACTCCCTAAGAACCCAGTGAAATTTACACTGTGACTCCCTAAAAACCCTGTGAAATGTTCACTGTGACTTCCTAAGAACCCAGTGAAATTTACACTGTGACTCCCTAAAAACCCTGTGAAATGTTCACTGTGACTTCCTAAGAACCCAGTGAAATTTACACTGTGACTCCCAAAAAACCCTGTGAAATGTTCATTGTGACTCCCTAAGAACCCAGGGAAATGTTCACTGACTCCCTAAGAACCCAGTGAAATTTACACTGTGACTCCCTAAAAACCCTGTGAAATGTTCACTGTGACTCCCTAAGAACCCAGTGAAATGTTCACTGTAACTCCCTAAGAACCCAGTGAAATGTTCACTGTGACTCCCTAAGAACCCAGTGAAATTTACACTGTGACTCCCTAAAAACCCTGTGAAATGTTCACTGTGACTCCCAAAAAACCCTGTGAAATGTTCATTGTGACTCCTTAAGAACCCAGGGAAATGTTCACTGTGACTCCCTAAGAACCCAGTGAAATTTACGCTGTGACTCCCTAAAAACCCTGTGAAATGTTCACTGTGACTCCCTAAGAACCCAGTGAAATGTTCACTGTAACTCCCTAAGAACCCAGTGAAATGTTCACTGTGACTCCCTAAGAACCCAGTGAAATTTACACTGTGACTCCCTAAAAACCCTGTGAAATGTTCACTGTGACTCCCTAAGAACCCAGTGAAATGTTCACTGTGACTCCCTAAGAACCCTGTGAAATGTTCACTGTGACTCCCTAAAAACCCTGTGAAATGTTCACTGTGACTCCTTAAGAACCCAGGGAAATGTTCACTGTGACTCCCTAAGAACCCAGTGAAATTTACGCTGTGACTCCCTAAAAACCCTGTGAAATGTTCACTGTGACTCCCTAAGAACCCAGTGAAATGTTCACTGTAACTCCCTAAGAACCCAGTGAAATGTTCACTGTGACTCCCTAAGAACCCAGTGAAATTTACACTGTGACTCCCTAAAAACCCT